AACACAGACAAGAGCCAGGGCGATACGTCAATTTCTAAAAAAAAAAACTAGGACATACACATTGGGGATACTTTTTTTTTTCTCTTTTATGATATATGTAAATTTAACATAAAAATATCAAAGGTACTCTACTAAAAAGCACAAGAATTTTTGCATTGAGTGGGCATGAACAAAACAAGGCTGGTGGCATGGGATGGTGGTTGCTTTTTTCGTGGATTGCAGAAACAGAAAAATAGATAGGGTCTTCAGTTTTATGTGTTTTTAATGCTTTATATTGATTAAAAATTAAACTTAGAAGGAGATTCAAACTTGGGCTAAAAGTAAATAGGATGGGTCTTTTTTTTTGTTAAAAATTTATCCCAGCATGTCCAACAAGTGTCCACCGTGTCTGAAACTAAAAAAGAATAAATAAACATGGACAGATAGTTTGGCGTGTCGAACATGTGTCCAGACGTATCTGTGTCCGTGCTTCATAGCAAGCAAGAAAATCAGCTACTACAATCCTATACAATTTGTAAAGAGGAGAAGAATGCATGAAGTGTACCTTTTGATGGTATACAGCCGCAGATTCTAGAAATTTTCCAGATGCATGAACTAATTTCTTCGTATAGGGCTTCAATACCACCCTAACCTTTTCAACATGAGGTTTCGTAACAGTAGCTACCTGATCAACATATGGCTTGCTGAACTTTTTAACTTCCTGTCACCAAACGAGAAGAGGAGAGAAACGTTCTCTAGTGAATGGTAGCTATTTTTCTTTAGGGAAAAAGTGAATACAGTATAGAGAACATACCAGATAGTACGGACCAATAGCTTCTTTTGATTTAACTGCATAAGGAGTTATCACACTCTTTGACACCTTGTAAAATTCTACAGTTTTTGTAGTTAAAGTCTCGACATGTGGCTTAACATTTTTTTTCACAACCAACCATCTTTCCTTCACAGCCGGGATATATTTCTGCAAGCAATGTCATGGAGTGTTTAAGTGCTTTCTGATTATTACAGAGCTCTCTCTAGATTGAGCATCATGGAAGGAAAGAACCTTAGTAAAGAATGAGAAGCAACAATATTGCATAATACGATCGTGTATAGTAGAATATAAGAACTTTTAGGTGCTGAACTATTGAATTACGATACTAGAGAATCGAAGTACAGACCGTCATTAATCGAGATACCAGGTCAAATTTTCAATTTCTAAGAGATCAAAGCATAAAAAATAGAAAATAGAAAATAAAAACTTAAAGCTTACTGCTTTCACTGTTTTAACATGGGGTTCAGCCCATTTTTCTGCTTGTGCTGCCTTATCCAAAGCCTGCAGAAAATTGAAAACATGAGTAGTTGACTAATTCACTAGAGCATACAATAGCCTGAAAATAAATATAGGCTTACTAGTAACAATATATATATATATATCTATATCTATATATATGTGTGTGTGAAAAGAAAGAAAAAAAAGGAGGAGCGCAACCAACCAACAAATTCAATTTATTTACAGTCTCGATAAGCACTAACTATCTCAACTCATAAAGATCCCAGGGGCCAGAAGACATAATCTGATTCTAAAACTTGACCCCGACCCAGTGAATTTAAAGAACAAAAAGAAGCGAAGGGGAAAGAAAGAATGCCACCGGTTCATTTTTTTCTTCACAAAATAATTAGCAGGAAGTGAAGTTATATAATAGTACCTTCTCAATTACTACATCAATTGCAGGTTTTGCATGCTCATTCCAGCGTGTTGTAATAAAAAACTGCAAAGAGATAAAGCTTCAGAATAAAGAGGAATAAAAGTTAGGGTGTGGGGCAAAATACTAGAGCATTACCTGAAAATGGCCATAATGTGTAGCAAGCCAAGGCGGCAGCCACGCACCATGAACCTGATGGCGAAATAAAAGTTAGCATCACCCTCACAACTGGAACTTTATCTAAAATAACATTCACCACTCTACATTATCCAAACACATTACCTCTGTCAATTCTTTAATTTTCGAAGCAGCCTCAAACTTTGCCTTCATCATCTCTTCCTACAATTAAAATTAAAAATAAATGTGTGTAACAAAAAAGCACTATCAGGAGTCTAGATTAATAACATTCAGATGCATTATGAAGTACCTTAGACACTTCAAGAGCCTGTTCAGTTACACGAATTCTAGTCTTCTGTTCTTCATGAATCTTCTGGAACTGTTACAGTCAAAAACATGCCAAATAAAATTATTATCATGATGCTACATATTTAAGCAATAAGAAAACCATCAACCTGAAAGACCAGCAGTGTAGGAGAAGAAACTATTGAAATAATTTCTTACATTCTCCAATTTCAAACTGGCTTCATTTGTTTTCTTCTTGGCTTCATTTGCTAGAATTTCCCAGGATTCTTTCTCCCCGTTCAGTATCTCCGATTGCCTTTTGAGATCATCAACCTGCATAAGGGTGGTAAATCATAAAAAAAGGAAGACAGTGACTTTAAAAATAAAAAATAAAAAAGTATTGCATTTCATTTCTTGCCTGTCTTTCTAATTCATGAGCACGTGCATACGCCTTCCCAACCTGCTCCTCAGCGTCTAGTTTCTCTTTTTTCTTAGCACAATAATAGACTAAAAATTTTCAGCATATGAGCAAAGCATCAAATATGGTTTTTTAGAGACAATTATAACAGAAAGATCAATGATGTATCGACAGATGAGAATTTCACCATCCTTTAAGACATAGTAAAAGCCTAAACTGCTGCTGCCACAAACCTGGAGAGAAGCAATCTCGCTTTCAAGCAATGAAATGCTATCTAGCTTGGCGCTAATGATCTTTTCCTTCTGAGCTAATACCTCATCCTTCCTCTTCAATTCTTGGTTTTTTTCATCAAGGTTGGATTCTTCAGCATTGGGTAAAGCCCGGTAAAGTCAAGCGTTGGCACCAAAAAAGAAACAACAGGACACCAATTTAGAAATTGAGAAGTCTCCCCGAAAAGATAAGAAAAAGTATGAAAAAGCAATATTCATCCATCATCCAGTGCGTTGTTTGATACTTACAAGTGTGAAAATTAACGTACAATCCGATATTCTATTTTTATTCCCAAATTAATTATCAATCCAACAAACAGTCGCTAACCTCCCGGCATGCAGGTAATTAAAACGAAATGGAACCCAGTTTTCTAGGTAAAATAGAATAGAACACCGCACGATCAGAAACCAGAAAATTCGAAAATTCCCATACCTTACTATTGAAAACTTGAAGAAAAGAAAAAAAACTTTACGATAAATCTAGCTTTCTGGTACAGAATAATGAAAATCGCAATGCCGTTTTTAATCTGGTCCATTCGAGATTATATCAAATTGTCGATCCACTAATATTAAAAGTATACTCGTAAGAACTGGTCAAATTCCCCATGCAATTAGATTTCCCACCCTCTTTTTCTAAGCTAATGCTTCCCCGGAATCAAACAAAACAATTAGAACTCATGAGAGACGATATCTAGAGCCAAGGATAATCGATATCTAACCAAGCGTTTGGATCTTGGACTTAAGCTCTTGCAGTTCGATCTTCAAAATAGAAAGATCGGAATCATCCGATCTAACGACTTCAACTATATTTTCCACTTCTCCATCAACCGATACATCGGCGCAGCCGTGCGTGAAAACTAGTGCTAGAAAAATTAATAGTGTGGCGAGCTTTGAGATCGCCATGGTGGCTCCAATCTCGGCACAGAAACTCCAGAGGAAGGGGCAGACGATGAACAAACTCTTCAAAGTTGAACTTGAAACTAAACCATGCGATCGACTTTTATTTTGTTGCGGTCAGTTCCACGCGACATTTGTCAATAAACTAAAATTACTTTATTATTTATTTATTTATTTTAATCCTTCTTGCCTTTTCAAACCTCTCGTATATTCAAAGCTTTTAATTAATTATTTCCTATTTTTTAATTATTATGGATTTTAATATTTTTCCATATAAATTAAACTCTACCATTTAGTTTTGTACTATCTATTAAAATATATATATATTATTTCCTTTTTCAAAATTATAATAAGTTTAAAATAAAATATAATTATTTTTATTTGTTGTCCTAAGTTTAGCATTTTTAAAATTTGGTTTTTTAGTTTATACTACAATAAATTTATTTAATATAACTCGATAGTAGATATATCTATTTAATATGGAGGTTCGATGACCCACCTCGAATGGGGTGCGATGCTCGGCAATGGAAAAAAATTGCCCTTCGTTACCTAAATAGAGCCGGAGACAGAGATTATGTTCTAATTACTACTTTTAACGACGTTGGGTAGTATGAGGCTCTTCTTCAAAACTATATGTCAATTATTACTAAGCTTGTATGAGGCTCGACTCCGTTCTCTGGAGCTCTCGAACAAAATACACCCTTTGTTCGACACTCCAGTCACTTTTAGCTACACCTTCGAAACTCACAATTCTTTGAATCATGATTCTCTACAAATAGTATGATATTGTTCGCTTTGAGCATAAGCTCTCATGATTTTGCTTTGGGCTTTCCCAAAATGTTTCATACCCAACTCATGATCATCCCCTAAATTAGTCGATGTAGGACCCACTCCCAACAATACTGAGACCAACCTTATTTTAATTATTTATTTATACATATAATTTAATCTAAAATAAATAAATATTTATTGTTTAGATTTTAAAATTTTATTTTAATTCATAAACTAAAAAAAACTATTTTAGTTATGGGTAATTTGAATATTTTATATTTTGGAAAATAATATAGAAAATAAGCTTTAAAATTTAGGAGTGAAATTAAAATTAATTTTCATCCAAATACGAATGGTTCCAATCGTACGGCAAAGGGACGGTCGACGTACCATTTGCAGTTTTTTTCCACGTAACTGTATTCACACTGCATGTACCCACTGGGGGCACAAAAAAATCCACGTAAGCAGCCACATGGAAACCAACAGTCGACGTGGCCATTTATTTGGTCTTAGCCGCGGCAAAATGTTCCCATAAATTTACCAAAGTTTCTAAAAGTTATGTGATCAGATTGCAAACCTCATCACCGAACAATTGAAAACGGCAAAATTCTGATCGAATTGTGAAATTTCGATCGCTATTTTCTCTTTTGGTTTTCCATTGTTCTTCCTTTTCGAGGAGTCGCGTTTCGGGATTTTCAGCCTTCCCGTTTGTTTATCGGATTAATTTCATCCTCGGAAGGTTCGAATCATTTCATTTCTCAGGTTGGTGAAGGAATCTTTGCTGCTTTTTTATGAGTTTAGACATCAGCATATCGCATGCGTTTGAAGCTGGAATTGTAATGATTATCGTGTTCATGAATTGCATTGATTTTATTTTACGTATACGGCTGTTATCTTGTGATTACCGAAATTTCTATTGTCGCGGAAGTGATTCTATTGTAAATATTCTCCAAATCTATTTTGTTTATTGAAGTTGATGATTTCTAGGAAGTTCATAGTTATCTGAAATGTGTATGTGTAAAGTCGTTACGTAGAAAGTGATGAGCGGTGTTTAATATAGTTGAAATTGGAGAAGACAAGGTGGCTCAACTTATCCTGCAATGAATGGTGTGGTGTAATCATCCATTCCAGTTTCTTAATTTGTTCGCCGCTTAGAGGATTAAGCTTCTGCAATTGACTTTGACGCTACCGGATGAGAAACTAAAGATGAACACGAATTTCCATAGAAATGGGCGATGAAGGATTATAGACGAGCTTTTTTCAGGCTCGGCAATTTTAAATTGCAAGGATCATTTTCTAATTAGCCTGCTGACTTCAACACAAATTCACTTATTATAGGGATTTCAGCGTAAAGTTCTATCGTCTTTCAAAGAAAGTGAGAACTAAAACAATTGTTGTCTTCTCCAGCTTATTTTTCTCAGATGGCATGGGGCAACATATACAGAAGAAGAATGAGAGTGTTCACCCTGGCTTTAGTGATATACCTGGATTATAAGGTAAAGTTCCCTGATTCCTGTTTACGCGCAAGAAACCAGTTCATATACCTTTATTTATTTAATTTTCATGCATAAGAATTAAGTTAATTTAGTATTTGTGGGGGGTTTTTGAAGGCATTAGAACAAAGAGAGAAGTGGATTAGCAAGTCTAAAAGATCAGCCTTATGGGAAAAGGCACATGAACGTAATGCAAAGCGCTCGTTGAGTTTGATTATAGAGTTGGAAGGTTTGTGGGTGAAATTTGGACAGTATTTATCTACTCGAGCAGATGTTATACCTGATGCCTACATACGCCTCCTCAAACAGTTACAGGACTCTCTTCCTCCTCGTCCTTTACAAGAGGTTATCTTTTATGTTTTTTTTATTTTCGTGACAGAAAACTAATTAATGGATCATCAATGAGACAGGCCTCTGATAGCTATCATGCTCGTTCTAATCACATTGCTCAGTTAAACATGCTCTGTTTCTCTTTTGGTTGATTAGTGATGTACGTTTTCCTGCCTTATAAATCTTTTTGGACAAAAAATCTTCGAACATTTCCAATCCTGGATGAAATTGTGCAGTTTCTTATCATGAGATGGTGAGGAAGTTGGTGTTTTCTTCAATTTCTTTTACTACTCGCCATGTTTTGTTTGGCATGCTGAACTTCAGAAGCTTATAGCATTACTCAGATTTCTAATTGGCATATTCTTGATACTTGTGTTTCATGACAGATTCGTCAGACCATACAGAAAGAGTTGGGGAAACCAATCAGTGATTTGTTTACAAACTTTGTGGAAGCGCCCTTAGCAACTGCATCTGTAAGATCCTCTTACCATAGACAGTTGTAGGGTACAGATGAATCACTAGAGCAGGTTCACATTCAGTAGATATTTTATTTCAAGTGTAGGATTTGCATGTTTGAAAATTCCCTTATTTTATTGCACTTGGTTCTGTCAGATAGCCCAAGTGCACCGAGCAACGTTGCTTGATGGAAGGGAGGTGGTTATCAAAGTGCAACACGAGGGCGTAAAGGCAGTTATATTAGAGGTTTAGCATGCTCTATAGATTTGAAGACTTTTGATCAAGACATTTGATAAACCCTCTGCCTGATTGGTAAGCATATGTTGACTGTTTCAGGACCTGAAGAATGCAAAGGCGGTTGTTGATTGGATAGGCTGGGCAGAGCCGCAGTATGACTTTAATCCCATTATAGATGAATGGTGCCGAGAAGCTCCCAAAGAACTTGATTTCAATCTTGAAGCTGGTACGTCTTTTCTGAACTTACTGTAAAAGACATTTCAGCTATTGTTGGCGAGTGAAGGACAAAAGCATGTTACCAACAATACCCCTGTATTCAACTTATTGTTTGGCACACCTAGCCATGCGTTTTATATTGTTTGGTGAAATGGTGCAATAAACATAAATGCCTAATTGGCCAAACTCATTATCTTAGTTTACTTCAGTGCATCTCTGCAATTACAGGCCATAACATTCATTTAAAATTCATGCCACCTAATGCATCTTTTCCTGTTCCTCTTTTCTTATTTCATTTTGTAGAGAACACTAGGACAGTATCTAGAAATCTTGGCTGCACAAACGAATCGGATGGTAATGAAGTCCTTGGGACTGTGAATGTTTCTATACCGGAAGTTATTCAGGTAATTTTCCTGCCTTATAATATCATATTTTCTCAAATGTCTAGATACTATTGAATCAAAATATTATCATGGATATAAGTACGGATGTAGCACTACTTGAAAGTAATTTGTAGGAAAATTTTATTTGTTACAATATTTAGAGGCCAACATAAATGGCAAATGAAAATATTTCATCTGTCTGAAGGTGTAATGTGGCTGGATGTGCTTTGCATGAAGTATTTTTTTAGTCAACGACTCGACAAGGAGTGCAGTTTGCAACTCTATGGTTGATTAATAATTATCTGTTCCTACCATGTAGAACTAACTCAAAAGAGCTAAAGAACTACTGAGGAACTTTGCGAAAATGACAGCTTATTTGAGATAAAGATTTCTAAAATTGTCCGTCTAAGTATAGCTTAATAGATAAGTCACCTATTACTATATCTAAAGTTGATGATTCGACCCCATATCCCTACAATTGTTGAACTTAACAAAATTAGAAATGTAAATTTTATTGTTGTAGGCAGGAAACATTAATCATTTTAAAGGCTTCCCAATTATGTTCTTAGCTTTTATGAATTTTTTTTAAAGGATACGTAGACATCTATGACAAGCAAGTCTACAAAATCAAAGTCATCATCTCAAGGATTGATCTTTGCTCATAACTTAGCAACATGCTTAAAGTTTAGTATATTTTCTCAGCATTTGGAATGGAAAATTTATTGCTTACATGGTTCTGCGTACGCATAAGATTTTGTTGCTTGCATAGTCAGCAGTTGTTCTGTGGGTTTCTATGGCAGTCAACAGAGAAAGTTCTAATTTTAGAGTATATGGACGGTATACGCTTAAATGACGCTGCTGACCTGGAAGCTTATGGTATTGACAAACACAAAATTGTTGAAGAAATCACACGAGCTTATGCACACCAAATTTATGTTGATGGATTTTTCAATGGCGACCCTCATCCTGGTACATTCCCATCTATGTGTAGTCATTTTAATGTCACACGAGCTTATGCACACCAAATATAAGAAACTCGAGCATGTTTCTTATAAGTATGAAAAAAATGGAAATGTCTCTGTTAGCTTTTTGCCTTAAATGGAAAAAAAATTATAATCACGATTTCTGAACCAGACCCTCAGAAATTCAGAAAGCTAGATAATTAAAAGAATCATAAAACTGGTCTTGTGAAAATGTTAGGGATGTGCGATCCCAATACAATAGTTGTGCCTTATCGGTACTTTGTACAGGGAATTTTCTCATCAGCAAGGAGCCTCCTCATCGTCCAATTTTGCTCGACTTTGGGCTTACAAAGAAATTACCTTGCACCATGAAACTAGCTCTGGCAAAGATGTTTTTAGCAGCTGCAGAGGTTTGTATGACATTATGATTTGGGTAAAATATAAAAGCCACGTGTAGTTTCTGCAGTTTTGAAATTAGACCCTCATATATACGATTTCCTTCACATTCATATTTTTAGAATTTGATCCTTTGATTTAGCTTAAATACAATTGTCAATTTAAAAGTTCGATGCATGTCATTCTCTAAGTGCCACATTGCAAGATTGAAGACTTACCGATGTTTGATAATATGAATACACAGTTCATTGAATATTCAAAACATTATCATTGACAGTGAACTGCATAACGTTGATAGTAAACTGTCTGCATTTTACCCTTCTAATGTGTAAGTAAATGTAGACAGTGTTTTGTTTTGCTAACTTTTTTTTAATCAATTTACTTCCAATAATGATTATATATAACATAGCTTGGCCTTCTTATAGACACAAAGGGGAATATCATCCTCCCTGGTTTTTTTAATTCAGTCTTTATCTAGTTGTCTCCTAATGAACATCTAAGACAACTCAAAATACATCTGTGTTTGTTTGTGTGCTCAGACTCCTTAGCTTTCCCTTGTCTATTTGTTTGATAAATTACCACTTGATGCAGTTTGTTAAAAACTTGTAGTATGAGTTTACTATTGTTACTGTAAGACAGCTAATGGTAAGAAAGCTGGTTTGTAGTTCTTCATGGATCCTTTGATTCACATCATTTCATTGAAGGTGGAAATGACTTGTAAACATATTCTTTGATAGGGTGACCACGTTGCTCTTCTATCTTCCTTCGCTGAAATGGGACTTAAGTTGCATCTTGATGTGCCAGAGCAAGCAATGGCGGTGACAAATGTATTCTTTCGAGCAGCAACTGCTGCAAAAGAATCACATGTAAGTGCATGCCAAGCTCTTGAGAGTCATGATTTTCTTGGACGTTTCTTACAAATTTTCATTCTCTGATATCTTTCATTATGAGTCCTATGAATATACTAGGTTCATGTTTTTACTTCTTCAGTTATTTTACAGGAAACCTTCAAAGCTGCGGCAGAGCAAAGATCGAAGAATCTGAAGGAAATACAAGAAAAAATGAAATTAAATCATAAGGAGGCTAAACGTTTTAATCCTGTAAGTTGATATAGCTTCTAATTATTTATCTATCATGCTTGTCTCGGTGTTTGGTTATGGTGAGAGCCCATCTTTTTTCCAGGTTGATGCATTTCCTAGTGATATTATAATATTTGCACGGGTCCTTAATCTTCTAAGAGGTATTTACATTTTAAACTTCAAATGGTTTTAACTTACAACAGAGTATTTGATTTGTATTTTCTAAACTTTCTAGGGACTTGGTGCAGGTCTTTCCTCCTTGATGGATGTTCGCACAGTATATCTAGATATCATGAGACCGTTTGCTGAATATGTTCTACAAGCGTGAGTTTTTTTCTCGACCTTTGTGTGTTAATGGGGCATCATCATACACTCGCTTGTTTAATATTGGATGTTTCAGAAGCATTAGCAAGGAGCCAAATGTAAATGATCAATGGATCTGGAGAACACCTATTCATTCTGATGTGGAAGATAAGCTGAGACAGCTCTTAATCAAGCTGGGGAATGAGAATAAAATACTTGGAATCCAGGCATGTACCACATCTTGAATATACATACTAATATGTCACACTGCAGATAAATGCAAAATGTCACTGCGTATTTGCAATGTTTTGATCAATTATTGTATGTAATTTTACAATGTTTTTCATCTGACCTATTACATTCATTACATACAAAAGCAGATATAGCATGCAGCTCAGATTAGCCCTTACCATTCAGCTTTGTGCTTGAATTGAAAAATTTTCAAAATCTAACACGGATTATGGATCCTAAAAATTTATCCGAAGTATCATTCAGTAGTATGCTGCTTCTTTTTCTCAGAATTAGACCATCAGTCAGATTTTAACACTCCTTATAAATGTATAGCTGTACGTATCTATGCCTGCACGTACACATGTATGTGTGGTAGAAGACTGGGATTTATAGACTTGTAACTGCTTGAGCTTATTTATCTTCGCTTTTGTGAGATAAGTCGATTAAGTTTTCCATATTTTCCTTTTGGGTTTGTTAGCTAACATTTTATGGCAAAGCAACAGTTGATTACGAGATTAGTACACTAATAATCTATTGTACATAGCAATTGAAACCTGCCGCTCACACATGCTGAACTGCTATCCATCTCTTATTCAATTATTACACAATTCTGTTAGGTGTGTGCCTACAAAGATGGAGAGGTCATTATTGATACTGCTGCTGGAGTTATGGGTAAATATGATCCTCGTCCAGTTCAACCTGATACTCTTTTTCCAGTGTTCTCTGTGACAAAGGGCATCACAGCTGGAATGTTGCATTGGCTAGTTGATAATGGGTAAGAACATAATTTATTAGCAAGTTGAATTGAGGTTTACAAGTCCATGTTGTGCCTTCAAAGTTAAAGTGCACTATGTCCTTAGCAATATCGGTCATTTTTTTAATGCATATTTTTCTGTCATGGCTGTGTAGTGCCTTCATTTATCGAAACCACTTCTTTCCTCTTATGAATTGTCTTGAAGGAAACTGAAGTTTGAGGAAAATATTGCTAATATTTGGCCGGAATTTGGATCAAATGGTAAAGATATAATAAAGGTATAGAGTTTCCCTCTCCCTAAAGAGGTTGCTTGCTATGTTGTCAGTGAATTTAAAGATATTTTTCCATTCTTGGTTTTCACTTCTAGGTCTATCAAGTGCTTAACCACACTTCAGGTCTGCATAATGCCACGGTCAATATTAGGGAAAATCCTTCGCTAATTTGTGACTGGGACGAATGTTTGAATTGCATGGCTAAATCAGTGCCAGAGACTGAACCTGGCCAGGAGCAGGTGTATCACTATCTATCCTATGGGTGGCTATGTGGTGGAATCATTGAGGTAATGTGTTTTGTTCAACATATTAACCACTTGTATTTACTTTCATGACTTTTGCATGGTGGAGGTTCAAACATGAGTCCGAGCATTGGCATAGTCTTATTAAGTTCCCATTGGCTGACGATCTCGGGATCGACAATAATTTTGTTTGTGGTATTACAGAGCAGAACCTGCACACTAAGATAGCTTATGGGCTTGGATACTTGCATATAGCCTAAGATAGCTTATTTTTTGCCTCATTGAATTTAATCTGCTAAAACAAAACAGCACGCAACGGGGAAGAAATTCCAAGAGATTCTTGAAGAAGCATTAGTTAACCCGCTCCATATACAAGGCGAGCTATACATCGGAATCCCTCCCGGTAAATCCTTACTGCATTGTCTCAATCTTTTTGCATTCTTAAGAGGAAGTTATTTTGGTGAGCTATTTTAATTACTCTTTGCTTGTCTCCAGGAGTTGAATCTCGTCTTGCAACACTAACACCAGATCTTAATGATCTACAAAATATCTCTGGGATCGATCCTTCTGAATTGCCCTCCACCTTCCAGCCAACCATGATTGCGCAGCTTGCCAGTACTCTCGCACCTCTATTTAATATGCTCAATACTCGCCGTGCCGTTATACCTGCTGCCAATGGACATTGCTCGGCCCGCGCACTGGCACGTTATTATGCAGCATTGGCTGGTGGCGGTGTGATACCACCACCGCATTCCTCAGCCTCCCAACCAGCTCTTGGAAGCCACCCTCACATCCCTAAATTTCCCTCCGAGAATTCAAAGAAGCAAAAAGCTTCCAGAACTAAGGACATTCATGCCAACTTAAATAATGACCATCAAAAGAACTTGAATTCTACTGAAACCGACGCCAATGGTGGTCTCTTCAGGAATACAAGCAATACTGGTTATACTAGGCTCCTTGATAACAGCAGCAGTAGCAATGCCAATGATCCCAGCACAAGAGCCGACTCGAGGCATGGAAACACTGCAAAAAAGTTCGTAGGAAACATGTTCAAAGACCCTAGAATTCATGATGCCTTTTTGGGTATAGGCAAATATGAGAATTTCGCCATTCCAAATGGGAAGTTTGGATTAGGATTCTCAAGGTTGAGATCAGATGAAGGTTCTTTTATTGGTTTTGGCCATTCAGGAATGGGCGGATCCACAGGTTTTTGTAATATTGATCACAATTTTGCCATCTCCGTGAACCTCAACAAAATGTCTCTGGGGGGTGTTACTGCCAGCATAGTTCAGTTCGTTTGTTCCGAGCTGAATATCCCGTTACCAGCCGAATTTTCCCCGCTCGTGGTGGCCACTCCTTTGATTAACTGAGGATGAAACAACAAAATTTTCCATAGCCACACAATATAACTCTTATAGCAACCTCTTTCAATATGGAACAATAATCATGATATGATCAAATTCAAAAATCCTATTATTTACTGCTGGTAACTTGATATGATTACATTAAACAAGAATGACATTATTGTCATTTTCAAAATAAATCATACCTTTCAGGTGGAAAACTTATTCAGGTTGGTGGTCAAAGATTGATGTACAAAAAGCTGGTGGGATCTCACACCTTTAAGTTAATGGTAAGAGATGCCTTTGTTTTGTTCTGTTTTATGTTTTGTTTTTTGCTTGTCTTTTTCTCTCAGACAGAAATGGAAATTCAGTCACTCGATAGTTGAATTGCTTTCTGAGAAAGCGATTACGTTTGTGATAAGGAATATCCATGTGTTTAATATTCCATAGCGTTGAGGCTTTAGTAAAAGGGAAAGGCAAACATGAAGAGACTAAGCTTAGAGAACTCAATGATATCTCTTTGTCACTCTAAAGGCCCCTTAACGTTGCTCGTCAAAAGTTAATAGCCAAATGAAAAGCCTCTCTTTATCAGAGCTAGGGCTTCGATCCTCGTACATGTAGGTTATGAGCTCACCACGCTTTTATTGCACCACTATAATTTGTGTCGGATCTTGTAATTTAAAAGTTAAGTCATAGAAAATATATCAAAGTTTTTTTACTGTTAAATTTTGGACAAAAACGTTAGAATTTTGTTTTAACAACATGCCTTCGTTTCTTGAAAGTTTCAAAAATACTCCCAATATTACAAAAATATTTTGTTGGACAGAAAAAAAAAAATAATAAATTTATATTTGATTCTTACAAAAAAAAAAAGGAAATTGATTAAAAGAACTGTGAAAAAAGTGAAGCGGAGGTATGATTGGTTGGCGTGTCCGACCAAAGCACTGCATTTAAGCTGTTGGATGATGTGTCTGCCACTTCCCTTTTTCCTTTTTATTGTTCTAAATTTATCTTTTTTTTATACATGTTTAATTATTATGCCTTTAATCTCTCAATTTATAGCCTGTAGGAATATGTTTATTTCGTCCTAAAATTGGTTTTATTAATTTTCCTTAATATTTTTTTCCTCATTAAAAAAAACATAATTTTAATTGTTCATAAACAAGACCACTTTTTTAATATTAATTAGGAAAATATTTTTTTCATTTTTTGAAAAAAAATAAATTAGACACGTTATTTTCTTTTAAATATTATCGATTTAAACTTTATTCTTAATATATTGAAAATGTTCAATTAAACCCTTCTATATAATAAATAATAGAAAGTTGGTCAGGTGTCCGAACTTAAAATATATATATTTTTTAATTTGTCGATCAAATTTTGACGAACTAAATGGAGTTTCTGGGTCAAATAAATTCGGATAAAAAATACTAATAAAATAATATTTAATAATATTTCTTCTTTTTATTAAGAAACGATTCTATTGAGAACGTCTAATACATCAAAGATAACTACGAAAATTTCAAAGATTAAGGATCAAATCAATCCCTATCAAACATATTAGGAACTATTTGACATATTTAAATTATGTTAAGTATTATTTCATTATCTAATAATTACAAATATTTGGTTGATTTTGTTTATAATTGACATTTATTAACATATAAGATGTTGATAAGAAATTGACAAATCGTGCGACTAAATAATGTATCGATCCGAAGATAAAAAATAGTTTAGACCTCTACCTCTTATATTTGAACCAGAAAAGAAAAAACTGAACCAGAATTATTAACCTATTAATGATAAAACATATGGTTTAATTTATAAGCTTTGAGTAATTTTCGTAAAAAAAATTGAAGTTGTTCTTGCTTTAACATTTTTCAATTACGTCCCTTTATACTCGTGAATTTTACAAACGATTTATAATATGATACTTGATGAATTGGCATAAATAAATAAATAAAAGTTAATTTTTTTTCAATTTAAATTGTTAAGCTTAAAATTAATTTCTAAAATTCTATTAATTATCAACATCAATTATTGAGAAAAACAAAAATAGCTTAAAATACACAAAAGTAAAATAATTTTACAGAAAGGGTTGAGGGTGAAATAAGACACATTTTGGCACATCAATTATTCGCGTTCAAAAGTCTATTTCAAAGCCTACGAGAGACAGCCAGCTTGCCCTAAATTAAGCGCTCCGATCAATTTACGTACATATATCAAATCAACCATTTACGAAGCCCTAAACATTATTCAGATCACCGTTAGCCTCACCGGCGGCGAGCGTATTCCGTTTCCCGGCGGCGGCGTAGCAAACGATGTCGAGATTGTAAAGCACAGGCACCATGGAAACAGAGCAAACGAAGACCAAAACAGGGCCAAAAATCCAGAGAAGCAACGGCAGGGCGCCGTAGAAGAGGCGGTTACCGACGGTGTTGAGAAGGAAGCCTTTGTCGAGGAGATCTGAGATGTAATCGGGAGTGACGGCGGTGGCGCCGGCGGGAACGTTGATCAGAATATTAACCTGGTTTATGAATCTGATGGAGAGGGAATGGCAGAAGAAGGAGAAGAGGAATAGTGTGAGCAAAGTCACGTATTTAAGGGCCAACATGAATTCGCCGTGGGCCCCGTAAACGGCGTCGTTTAAAGGCTTTTTTATGCTGTACGTACTGCTGAGAACTGCCGCTAAGCCCGTACAGAGGAGAATGGAAGTAGTGGCCATTAGGGTGCATCCCATTATCGTGTTCCTCAGTGATTGGACGGCTAGGATGTTCTTCTTCTCATTATCCTGCCAATTTTCAACCCAAAAATAATTATATTTTTTTTTAAAAAAATCTCTACTTCTAGCTAATAAGCTTATAACTCTTAATATATAATTTGAACGTTTAAAAACGATTTTTTTTTAATTCCAAGAATACCCAGAAGCTCAAATTGATCGACTATGACATATCTGATCATACATATCTATTTCTAAAAGATTAGAGCTTCTTCGATCGTCTCGACGCCTTAATATCAAGGAATTTGTTGTTTTTCTTCTCTTCATGTATGAGGGTTGTCGGCCTCTTCATCTATGAGGGCTGTTTGAGTCATCCCAACCAGATGAACAGGAACAAACTAAAGATCGTAAGGTTAATTTTACCAATAAGACCATAACATGAATTAACAAAATGGGGTGTTCTTTTCATCTACGAGGGTTATCTGCCTCATCCCGAGCAGATGAACAAGAACAAGTAAAGATCGTAAGGTTAATTTTACTAATAAGACCCTAACATGAATTAACAAAATGGGGTGTTCTTCTTTTCATCTACAAAGGTTGTCTGCCTCATCCCGAACGAACGAACAGGAACAAGCTTAAGAACGTAAGGCTAATTTTACCAAGAACAAACCAACGTGAGCCAGGAGAGGAGGAAGAAGTTAATATAAAGTTTAAAAAAAAAAAAAAAGAGATAGAGATAAAAGACCTGTAAAATGGTAGAGATCCAAAAACGCCTAGCATTAGTGTTAATACCAATGAGAGTCGTGAAAGGCTGAGTCCGAACTCGGTGCCAAAGCCATGCATGATATCCACAGCTTATCAATGACCCCAAAGGAACCAATATTACATCCAAATAACAGCTCCTCCACTCCGCCACCATTATTATTATTATTCTTATAATTATTCCACTCTCTTCCCCCTTCAAATAACAAACCCCCTATATATATATATTTATTTATTTATTTATTTATTTATTTATTTGTAAAGAAAAAAGAGAGCGATCAAGGCAATGGACGCATGTGGACTTGATTGAAGACGTAATTCACTGGTCAAGAAATTAAAACACCTTTTATTTTTTATTTTCTTCCCAAAGTTTTAAAAGCAAAAATAAATAAATAAATAAATAAAAGTACTTTTCCCCCCCTCTATTTTCCTTTATCTCTCTCCAAATTTCTCGCCTGTGTTGGGAGAGTTTTGTCCTTTTATGCTACTTTTAATTCACTACATTTTTCTAATTAAATTTTAATTATGTTGGATTAGTGTAGATGATTCTTATTTAAGTTCAATCATTAATTAATTAATTTGGTGTTTTAGTGGGAGTAGGAAGATTTGGACAAACTAAATATATATAATTCAAAATAAACTTTTGAATACACTCACCGTCACTAAAGAATCTCGAGTAAACTATATTTTTTCAGCTGTTAATAGGTCTCGATAAGGATCATGAGTGGTCGAATTTTACTATTTAAAATAATATTGGGTAGCGGATAGATTTGGAGATTAGGGTTTAGGAGATAAGAACAGAACTAGATGTTGATAAATTCAAATTGAGTCGATATTTTTCAAATTTTGTAATATTTTTGGGTTTAATTTTAATTTTAATTTTAATTTTAACAAAATATAATTAAGTTCAATAATTTACCAACTTTGGGCTAATTTTTTGCGTTCTGAGCTCTCTATTTGCTATTAATAATGCTTAAAAAAGGGAATTTTGTTGGGCACATAATTAAAGTGACCTTAAAATTTTGAAGCATAGACGTATGTGTTAAACAGTTACAACATCTTCTTTGGTGAGTCGTGGAATCAGCCTATTTTGAGCAATTGTTAGGGAAACGTATAGGATATTTTATATGAAAGTGTTATTTAATTTGTTTTAATTCAATTTAGTTCCGAAGGGCTTAGCCAACCACACGTGCTAGCCTACTGCTCGTTGACAATCGAGCGATGAGTGTATTCATCGGGCTGCTTGTAGCCCGAGTCTTAGAGACGTTGAGTCAAAATCCAACGTATTGTAGCTTTGTGTCACTAGCTTTTCAACTGAGCGTAATGACCAATTGTACGAATCAATAACTGTTCTCGTACTAGGTCGAGTAGGGTAAACTACCCTGTTTCATAATGGTTTGAACTCAGCCCACGTTCTATATTAATGGATGAACAATATTGAAGGATAAAAACTTCGCTATTGTAAGATCCTACCTCGATAAGAGTAAAAATTTCTCTCTAAAATATTGAAGGATAAAAGCCCGAGAGAAAATACCCAAAACAATATCTACTAGCAGTGAGCTTGAACTGTTACCGTTATGATACTTGGTTGCTACAAGCTAAATCTATGAATTTTTTTTTTTCTCGTCCACTCACTATGAGTTGAGCACCAGTGACTCATCCTCAACATTCTGGTCGTCGTCATTCATCTAAAGTCTTACGAACATTTTTTGATGGGATAGTAGGATATCCACAATCAATTAATTTAGACCGCTTCTAAAAGTTTATGGATTTAATTAATCAAGTATTATTTTTGAATTTTAAGTAACAAATAACTCAAAAATAATAAAATGGTGTATAATTTATTTAGGAGACTCCAAAATATTTATAAATAAAAAATTAAAAAAAAAACAGTACAAGCTTTTAATAATTAAAAGCTTTAGCTATATAATATAATAAAATAATGCATTTAGTGTGTGATGGAGCAAACCAATGACAAAAATAGTAAATGCTTATTGGCACCAATTAATGAAGGAAAATTATTATCCCCTTGAAAAAGGAGATCCACTACCAAGAGACCTTTTTTACGTTGCTTATTATTATTATTATTATTTAAATGTTATAATTAAATATTGAGCCATTTATTTTTAATAGTGTATACATAATACAAAACACTTTTCCTATTTAATAATTAATTCAAAACAAAGTCACTATATATATATAATTAATAATTAAAGATGTTTTTAAAATTTAAAAAAAGTTTGAAAATTTAATAATATTTTTTTAACAATTTTAAAAGTTATGAAGTATTTTTTTAAACTCCGAAAGTTTGATGGTATTTTAAAAATAAAGTATTAATGATTTTTATTCAAAACTAATGATGTTTTTTTATTTATTTTGAGTGTAAGAGTATTTTTTAATTTAATTATTGAAATTTTAAAAAAATTATGGAATTTTTTTTTAGAAAAGTAAAATTTATGGGTATTGTTATTAATTTAGCTTTATATATATAACTAAAAATATTTAAGACACGTTTTGTAAGTTTTATTTTAAGAAAATTAATAGACATTTTAAGTTTTTTTTTTCTTTTTTCTTTTTTAATGTCGGTTTCTTTCTAAAAAAACGTTTTAAGACTATTTTTTGTTATATTTAAAATTTGATAATTATCTATAAAGCTTATAAAAATAAATAATTTTGATCGCTTTCCTAAAGCATTAAAGTCCTACAAATATTTATATATCAATTTTTTTTTCTTTTTGATATAATTATAAAGTAGAGCATGAATATAAATAAACGCTATGCATAACTGTTTTCTAATAATTAATGTAAGAGGAATATTCTAACTAAATTATTATATGATACTTTAAATAAATAAATAAAAATACGTTTTTTTTAATTAAAAAAATGTTTCTTACTAATAAGTGTTATTTATACTTGAAATTATTGTTATTTTTATAGTTTATATAATATTTTTAAGTGCTAGAATTATCTAAAATATAAAAATTAAAACATAATTAATTTCAACATAATTCCATGAAATAATATATTAATAAACCATCTTCAAAGTCAGGTAGGTTCCAATGTTAACTAATTGTAATATTAAAAAAATTATTGAGTGTTTATTTAATAATTTGATTAACGAGATTCGAAGTTCGGGATAAGCTCCCTACATAATGAAAAAATCTTGTACAAATGTGATGTTTTGATGTACACTCTAATGTTTAAAGCAATGACATGTGCCGAGACTATACATGGAATTTTCTCATCTCAAAACTCGACATGCTCCTCCATCCAGCTCCTAAACGTTCGAAAGCTTGTTTTACCTCTTTCAACAACCAAGATATGTTAGGCTCGATTTGCTACAAAGCAGGTCAACGACTTAGAATTACTATTTTTAATTTTTTTAATTGAGGTTTTAAAAATATTTTTAATAAAAACGTTAAAAATAAATTAAACAAACTTAAAATAAATTAAAAAATATATATATATCATTGGCTATTTTTGACATTATAAATGTGACAGAAAATGAATGTAAGGTAAAGTATAAGTGCACGAAAGGCTAAGAATTTGAGGCATTAAGTGGCCGACAATTGTTTCCACACAACCCAATATTATCAGCTTTCCTAAATGCTATATATCTCTTCAAGTCATTAGAAGGGTCTATTCCTCTTTAAATTAATAATTGAAAAATTATATTTTAATCAAAATCTAAACTTCGAAATCGTTAAATTAAATAAAAAAAATTAATTACTCTAAAATTAAGGTAAAAGAGGATCGAATTAGAGTCGAACCTGAATCGCATGAATCGAGGAGGTAGTAGTCATAGTTGTAGAGTACACGAGTGACCACAATCGAGGCCAACTATAGATTTGGGCTTCGGCCCAAACTCCTTTTATTCGCTCCCAATTCTTATTACATTTTAGTCCACTTTAATCAATTTTAGACATTTTTGTTTTATCGAGATCTTTGATCAAGTATAACTCAATGGATAAAATATCGATTTATTTTATTTTTAACATATTAATTTGAATTACTAAGAATACTACTTTCTTATACATTATGGTTTAAAAAATCATTAACAATAATATTATTTAAGTATATTTAATGAATAATAAAATATATAAGAGGGTAAAGTTGGAATTTTGTAAAAATTTATAAATTTTGAAAAGAAAAGAAAAAAAAAGATTCCAAGATCAATCACATGCACTAATCTAGCTCAATTTAATGCAATGCTTTTAATTAAAATTAAAATGTTAATTTAGCAAAAATTTAATTATGGAGTTTTTTAGTGTATAAATTGATTTTTTTTTCATATATAGAATTAATTTATTTTCCATATTTTATAATTCAATTATTAATAATGATTTATAATTTATATAGTAAAGATCTTTCAAAAAATAATATATAGTAACAACCATATTCTGATTAATGGAAATATGAAAAATAATAATGAATAATTAAAAAATAGATTTTAAGAGTAATATTAAGAGTCACTTTTAAAATAATATAAATATTTTTTAAATGAATTAGGGATATTATTTGTTAATTAATTAGCTTCTTAATTAAGGAAAAAGATGAAGAGAATGAGAGTTTAAATTAGGGCTTACTTCACTTAGACCATCAGCATCCTTTTCAGCCCAGCCCATCTGACAGGGGAGCAGCCAGAACGAAGCACGTGCTCGGCACTCCATCAGTCCATCTGAACCAGAAGCACGTGACGACTTTTTTCCCTTTCTATTTAATAATAATAATACTAATCCATTAATGAAATTTACGATTCTTCTGATGGAAATAATATATATATATATATATTTATTAATGTACATTATTAAATAAATTATTTAATAAATATTGGTAGTTTTTATATTTATTTGATAAGTATATATTTATATTGGATATTTAAAAAAAAAATTATGTGGGATTCATTTGACTTTAATTAATCGAGTCATATTAAATGTTTAAAGCCGAGTTCAATGTATTATTAGTTTTTTAAAACAAATTTAATACCTATGTAATTTAATTTTGAAATTGTGAAATTAAGATTATATTACATTTATAAAATAAAAAATATATTTCACTTTACTAAAAAATTATATTATATCTAAAAATAATTAATATTATTTTTGATATTTCACATAACAGAACCATAAAGTTAAATGTTAAATTATAAATATTTATAAAATGTCAACAATAATATATATATATATATATATATATATAATATTTAAGAAGAAAAGAATATTTTAATCACCGTCCACATTTCATCGTGTCTCTGTCCTCCTCACTTGATACTGACTGATTGTACACATGTGTGATATTTGCTTAATTTGGTCACTGACCAAGTGGCTTCCTTATTTTAAAAAGGAAAAAATGTGTTTAAATTTGCAGAAAGTTGGTGTTTTTTTTTAATGCATTTTTCTACGGTATATTAATTTTTAAATGTTTTATGATGAAAATATTCCACGATAAAAAAATTTGTGTACACATTGTTCTGTCAAACTCGTTTTTTAAATCCACGTGGCACGATAATGAAGCGTGAATAGATTTGAGATTCGGAAAATTCAAATATTTTTTCAACTAAAATAAATAAAATTCAAATATTTAATGATTACTTGACCCAATATTAATAAAGAAATAACTATAACAAATCATATTTAATAAATATTTTTCAAATATAAGAAATCTCTACATAAAATCAACGGATCTTGACGTAAAAAGTTGATTTTTTTTTTTTATTACGTTCGAAAATAATTTTGCTTATTCAGAGGGATGCCGTAGTTGCATAAGCCGGATCAACTTCATAACAATGGCATTCTGGAAACTGTTTTTGTGTGATGATAGCATAAAAAAGAAAGTCTGAATTTTTCTTGGAAGCGGACTCGAAAATTTGATCTTAACTACATTTTCTTATAGAATCTTACTGATTGGGTATGACCGGACAACTACCGATATCTAAAAATCTCCTTTCTTAGAATATTGGTTGTGATATTGATCTTACAGGGGAACGAAATTAAAGTATATATATACAATGTCATACCGACCATTTCTATTTCATTCCCTCTAAATTTCTTTGTTTATTTGTAGAAAATTATATATATATATATATATATATAGAAAACAAAATATTCGAGCAAAAATAATTAATGAATAATTTCTATGAAAGATATAAAAACCTTAATATATCTTAAAATATTTCAAACGTACCGTGTTAGAACATAATTATCAAATTTCTAATATTTTTGTGTGCGTGTGAGGCAAGACGAGAGTCGGGATAGGGAATATAATTTTTTTGTCTCCGACCCATTTAGTCAAAAAAAAAAAAAAAATCTTTCATCACTCACCGACCCTTTGATTTCCTACTCGGTTTAGGCTAAATGGATATCTTTATTTATAAACTCTATTATGATCATCCACGACTTTAATACCCGTTCACAATATCTAAAATTGAGTGGAACACTCGTCTTCTAAGATTACTCACTTTTAGTCGATAAACAACGACTAACCTATTCTAATATAATTCCAGTAAATCTGACCATTTTAAGTAAAATAAGAAGTCTCAATCTCGAGTAAACGGAAAATCAATTCAATTTTATTAATTAAAATAAAATCATGGTCAAAGAATAGGCTATACTACCAAAATTCCATGGATTGAATTCACATTTTTTGAAACATATAATATAGTTGCTTATGCAAAAAGAATGCGTATTGATGATGGGCAATGAGTGGCTTAATGAGTTTGGCCCTTTGGGGTATTTAATTAATCGGGTTGTAACGGAGCCGCATTAATTATTCTCTTCATTACTTCATTAAGGTGCGGATCACGTTGTCGTTCCCCTCCATTGCCCTTGCCCCTTATTGTTTAGGTCAAAGTCAACCACTTGCCCATTTTTATCTTTATAATTATAATTAATATTCATGGTTCCTGCCACATTATTATTTTATTTTAAAGTCTTTGTTGTAATTTAAATTTGTACATTCAAACCTTTGACAGAGTTGATACTCAAATTTCAAACTTCAAATATTGTTTTTTTTTGTAAACTAATTTATATTTGCTCTCTAATTTTAATTTAATTTCTATTAATCACGTCGAAATGAATGAATGAGGAAAATGTAAAATAATACATCTACCAAGACGAAAGCTAAAGGTCAGTCTTGTAGTTGGACGTATCGAACTGAAATAATATCTCAGATTGACATCTTGATACAGTGATTTACCATAATAATAAATAGAGTCAATGGCGACTCCACCGTGGGCAGAGCCGTTTCTTTCTTGCTTGATAGAGGGGCTTCTATTCACCAACGCATACTAAAAGTGCTCTCCGAACCGTGTTGGATAGTCACCTATCACACAGCTCTGTTCAATAGAGCCAAGGATTCCCCCCTCTCCCCATTGAGTTGACTGAGCCTAGTGACATCCATCCCTTGTCTCTGACCAGAAGATAGAGACTACTTCATGCACAACTTCAACATCTCCTCGGATAGGCTTTTTTTTCAAAAAACCCTTCGAAAAACACATTGGCTTTCACTCGACGTTCGAGGATCCAAACAAGCAAAAATATACATGTTACAAACAGAAGAAAGGTGGATGTTCAGTGGTGGGGACCGGCTAGATCAAGACTAGGAGAGATGATCCCGAATAAGAGAAGAAATTGAATCCATTATTTAATCAATTTTGACATTAAAATATGAATATATTAATTAAAAATACATAGACTAAATTTAAACGATAATCAAAATATAATTTAATGTATAACGTCTAAAATGATATTACGACTGAATTAAGAGTTTTTTTTTCGCAATTTAGGCAATAAAAATAAGTGTTAAAAAATTAATAAATTCTTTACTTTGAATATTAACATTATTTTTTAGTTCAATTTTGATTTTTTTGAAATATAAAATTAGTAAAATTTAAAAATATAAAATGAGTCAAATACCTAAAATAATGGTTTATAATATAAGATTTCTTATTTTATTGTAATTTGCCATTTTATAATTATTATTTAAATTTATTTTAGTGTGTAGTTTTCGTTAATCCAACGTGTCTCATGGCTACTTCTAGAGTGACATCAACAAATTTAGTTTTTTTTATGCCCAATATTTTAAAATTAAAATTAATATCCAATTGCGTTTGAGGTCATAAGTTATTAGATATTAGATTTTAGAGCCGACCCTTTGAGGGGCCAAACAGGATTCAACTCTAATTTTTATTTCACGAATATTTTGTATTTTGTGGACCCTCGTTTGATAAGAACCACATTTATACATTACAAATTATATAAACATACAATAATTATATTTAGAAAACCCATAAAATTCATGATATAAATATTAAAACAACATACATCATCATCGCGCTAAAATGTTATAATTTAGTGTTCATACAACTATTTATTTATTTATTATTATTATTATAAAAAAATTATCATTTTTACTTCTAAATTTCAAAAAATTTTCATTTTGGGTTTAATTTCTATTTAATCCCTAAATTTTAGGATTTTACATTTTTACTCTTGAAGTTCACTGTTAATGTTAACTTTTAGTCGTCGACGTTGATTTTTCGTTAATTAATCTAAATATTAAGATGTTTAATTTTAAAAAGTTTATCGTATTAATGATAATTATAATTAATTTTAAAAGAATTAAAATAATATATATAATTAAGATACGGTAAATGTGTTAATTAATCTTCAAACGCCAACAAAAAAAACATTTTAAAATTTAAATCCAAGGGAATTAGATTTTTAAAATTAGGAGAAATTTATTTTAATTTCTTACCTTTTAAATATATATATATATTTTTTTGGTCAGACCTTTTAAAATGATTAAAAAAAAAAAAGATTGGGCCACGGTATTTTACCGCTTAAAATTTGGCAACCCTATACCATCATCCTTGACTTCAACATGCAGCCATGACATGGGCCTTGGCGTGCGGACAACGTCGTCGAAGTGCGAGGCAAAAGCTTGCGAGAGGTTAATGGCGCTTGTCTTGGCGCGCCGACACGCCCCCACGCTCCTAATTCGTCCGCACATTGGCGTTTGGTTTAGGCACCAAGTAGGGGTTCAAAAGACCATTAACCGAGACAATAGAATAATACTCCTAGGTCCAAGCATCGAAACAAGGTCAAGACCTGTTTTTGTTTCTTTTTTTGTTATATTATTTTGATTGTCTTCAAATCGGAAAGAAAGCAAAGATGGGACAACCTCGAAAACGGAGGTAGATTTGAGACGGACATTGGAAATTGTAAAAGAAAGACGACTCTCACATGGGTTCCATCGAAATCAAAGCCAAAGGGCAGTTAGGGCAGTTACAATATCAGTTAAAGTAAGAAAATAATACACAATAATTACGCTTTTAAAGTTTTATTTTAATAATTACTCTTTTATAAATTGAGTCTATAATTTTTTAAATATTATATTTCTTAAGATTTTACATTTTTTTAAATAAAAAGCTTTTTGTAAATATCATTATTATTAAATTTATTAATTATTTTAACCAAAAATATATTAATGAGGACAGTACAATCGAACGGTACGAGGCCCCTTTGACTCTTTGCTTTGGAAACCAAATCCACCTGCCATAAACTGACATCTCATCGCTTCTTTCGCCAACTATATTTATTTTTATTTTCTTTTAAAATTTAATATATATATATATATATTATTGTACAAGTATAACTAAAATGGACCCACGAGCTACAGCATTGATTCGAATCTTCTTGAAATAAACAAAGTTATAATTTTATTTTTTAAAAAAATAAAATAAAATAAAATAAAATACATCAACCAAAATATAGTATTTTAATCAATATAATTATATTTTAAACACATTATACTAAAAGAAAAAAAATTACAGCGCCAATTGAAAAGACCGTAAAAAAGAAATCCAATAATAAATTATTAACCCATTTTTTCCTTTAAATAAAATGGAAATTGACTTGCGTTAAATAAAATTATAATAATTCATATACATGATGAAATTAGGGTTGATTTAAAATATTAAAAAATGCAACAGGTGTACGGCCATGATACAATAGATCCTGACCCTTCAGCAACGAACGATGAGGTTCGACTTTCGAGCCATTATTGATATATATATATATATATATATTAATGAAATATGCTAACCCCACATGGGTTATCTTTACCGGAAATAAAAGCCGAGAGATTATTGCCTTAACTGTCAAAAGTGTCACACTTCAGTCCAATTTTTTAAGCCTTGGATTACGCACCCCTAAGTACTAATAACAATAATACTTTTTTTAATTATTTATTTTATTTTAATTAATAAATTCCTAATGAAAAATAATATAAAAAATATTTACATGTAAAATTATAAATATCTTCTCATATATGTTTTAATAAGCTGAACTATGTTTAAATTAGTAATATAATTACGGTTATTAACTTATAGTTTAACTATAAAATCATAGTATCATTGTAGCAACTATTTTCACGTGATAAAATAAATATATTTATGGATTATTAATAATAGTACCTATAATATTGACAATATTGATAAACTATTAGTTCCAATTAATATAAAATTATTTTAAATTTATGGTATTTAATAAATTGTTTAGCTCCACAAATTTAAAATTTAATGTTGGATAAGATATAACGTTCACTTAAAAGAAAAGGTTTAGGGATAAGAAATAGGTATAGAAGTAATTCTGATTAGTATTTTAAATATTATTATTTTGGATGATTTTGGGTATCGCAACAGAAAATACGGAGAGAATTACTCGAATTAATTAAAATTTTACGTTTTTTCAAATCCGTATTCCAACCGCCTATAAATTCATAGCAACGAGGGTTGAGACTTTCCTCAAATCGAAAACAAAAACCAAAGTCGCCATGGATTCAAAGAAGTCTAACAAAATCAGAGACATCGTTAGGCTTCAACAGATCCTGAAGAAGTGGCGGAAGTTGGCGAACTCATCAAAGACGGCGAATAGATACTCCGGCACGGCGGCGGGATCTGGCGGAAAGAGCATGAAGTTTCTGAAGCGGACGCTCTCAGCCGGATGCGATGTTTCCGGCGCGTCCGTACCGAAAGGATCTTTGGCGGTGAGCGTCGGTGAGGAGCAAAAGCGATTTGTGATTCCGACGCAGTACTTAGGGCATCCGGCGTTTGAGATTCTGTTAAGAGAGGCGGAGGAGGAGTTCGGATTTCAACAAACTGGAGTTCTGAGGCTGCCTTGTGAGGTAACGGTGTTTGAACATGTGGTGAGATTGGTGGAGAGGAAGAAGGGAGATTTGTTCGGCGGAGAGGAAGTTTTGAGCCTTTGTTCGTTGGAATCGCTGCTGCTTACGCCGTCGCACCGTCCGCAGAGTCCAATGTGCAGATAGATTGAATTTTGATTTAGAACGAAAAGGAAACATTAGAAATCTCTCTTTTTCTCTCTTTTGATTCCTCATTTAATCTTTTTCTTGAAGGAGGTAACATCAAATGTATGAAGAAAGAGGAAATATATGAATAATTTTTATTTTTATTTTTATTTTTATTTTTATTTTTTTAAATATTTGCTTATACTCCGGATCTGCTCTCTTTCCCTAATTTTATTTATTTATGTTTTCTGGGGGTTGAAAATTGACATGGGAACAAAATGGGGATTTTGCATGTTTGGCTGGCGCTATTCGATAAATTCCAGTTTTGGAAGTGATTTGGTTGTTTGAAACGGATCTATTTTTAAAATATTTATTAAAATAAAAAGGGACTCGGAAAATCCGTGCTTCGGTTTACCGTCCAATTTTTGGGATAAAATTAAATATGTTTTTACTTTTTTAAATTCAAAGTATATGAAATTATTTGTAATAATTTAATTCTAATAATTTTAAGAATTATTGTTAATCCTTTTTAGAGGAAAGTCTAATCCTTAGGCTTTTTAAACTTTTAATTAAGTTGTCTATTTAACAAAATGTTGTCTAATAAATTACCTATTCCTAAATAATTTTAAGTAAATACAAAAGTTGACGAATTAAATGTATATATATATATATATATATATATATATATATTTTTTATTTTTTCTTTTTTTGAATCGGATAGTCCAATCCATCCCATACACCGTTTGGGTTGGGTTAAACAGGGAAAATCGTTTGTATCCACCTTAAATTGATAGGGTTGATGACCCGAGCAACCCGAATAAGATTGGGTTGGGATGAAATTTTTTTTAAAAAAATTATTTTAGAAAACGAAGATCATAAAACTCATATATTACATTCACATTTTGCAGCGCAATTGTTAACCTCGGTAGCAAACATCAATTATTTTTAATAGTGACAATAATCTAAAAGTAGAGGTAGGGTTGAGCTATAACCCTATTGTTGAATTTGTCGAGGTAATTGGGTTGACTTGACAAAAAAATGTCAACGGTGAATCGGTTGGAAGTGCAATTACTAACTTTGGTTGCAAACATCAATTATTCTTAATATTGACAGTAATCTTAAAAGTAGAGGTAGGGTTGAGTTATAACCCTATTGTTGAATTGGTCGGATTAATTGGGTTGACTCGACAAAAAAAATGTAAACCCATGAATTAAGTTTCAATTTTCAAAATATATAACTCAACTCAACCACCAAAAAAAAAAAGAAAAAAAAATTCAAAAACTAAAAGGAAAAAATGCCGAGAAAGTTCTTCCCTATAGTTAATTATAATTCAGTTTAAAGTGTTAGATGAACATGATGATATGATATTGTTCACTTTAAACATAAGCTTCATGGCTTTGTTTGGGGCTTCCAACAAATCTTTCATTTCAATGGAGAGTATTCTTTCTTTATAAACTCATGATCATTCTCTAAATTAGCAGATATAGACTTTCATCCTCCAACAGAAAAAATATAAGAAGAGATAGTTACATCTTTTATTCAAATGTTATTTAATAATAATTTAATATTTATTATTTAAAGATTTATTAATAAATCACAATCCAACAAGAGATTGGAGATGTGGGTATTGAGTTTATAAGCTTTTATTCAATTTTTGTTTAATATAATACATTAATAAGTATACATACATACATACATACATACATACATATATATATATATATATATATATATATATTTAAAGATAAAAGAAAAGATATTTAAATTAAGAAAGTAGGAAGTTAGAATGCGTTTAAAAGTTCTAACGGACTTCATTATTTAACATTTTTTCAAATTCAAGAAAACCTTATGAATTTGGGAATATTCCTTAAACTGAAATTAATATTCTAAAGAATATTTCTTAAACGGAATTCCAGAAAATAGGGCGTTTAAAACCAATGAAAAAAGGCTCTTCCAAAAGTTATTTTTAATAAAAACATTATGAAAATTAATTTTTATTTTAACAAATCTAGAGAGCCGTTATACCTAAGAGGAAAATTGCATTCATTATTAAAATAAGCACCCATCACAATCGTACACGTGGGATATTTTTGATGAATTATTTTTGTGGTGGACGACATGTCGTACGCCGGGCTTATTCTGGTTGCGTCGCAGCGGATTAAGGCATGGTGGGACCCACGGAGTGATGATGACGATGATGATCATGGAAATGGACGGTCGGGATTGAGTGAAAATGGGGCTTAGTATAATGGGAAAGGGAAGCATCGGAAAGTTAGTTACTTCAGTTGGGAGAAGGGTAATAATAATTTCAAAAAATTAATGAATAATTTTAAATTTTTAAAAACTAAAATTTTAATACTACATTATTTACAATAATAATAACAAACAAATACAATAACTTATTTGAAATAATAAGAATAATAATAATAATAATTAATAATCGGGCAGGGGTGGGTGGGAGCAGAGATGGAGAACAAAATCATCTTCAATATTCTAAATGCAATTATTTTATAACAGTTTGATTTTTTGTTTTTAAAAAATAATTCAAAAATAAATTTGTTTTTTTTTTTTAATTTTTATAATTTTGTTTGAATTTTAAGAATATCACTTGAAAATTTTAAAAAGCAAAAAAATGAACCAGTTATTAAAAGTATATTTCTTCTCCCATTGTTTGGCGGGAATTTCGGGACTATATATAGCGATGAATGACGAGGCGTATTCTTCATTCCCAACCTATTTTCGAGGGAACAACCGCTGCTCTTGCTCTTGCTCTTGCTCTGGCTCGTATCCTTGATTTATTTAATCTCCGATTCTCCACTGTATATGTATTTGTAGTAATCGAGGAGAGCGATTTATGAAGTTGATCAGTGTGCTCGATCGAGAGACGCGACTGCACAGATCTACCGGATTGAATGTGGAGTCAACTAGAGGCGGAGGCGGTTTCAGCGTCGAGGAATAGTTAGGTCGTTGCTTACTACATCACCGGCAATGGCTTCGGCTGCGCTACTCGCGTTATCGAGGTCAGTTCCTCCATTACAGAATGTTGATTTCATTTCTGTTGTTTGATTGTGTTTTTTCCGCTGGATATATGCAACGGAGTTCGGATTTTCGTTTCTAATGAGCTTGAATTCTTCGGTTCTCGGAATTGTTGTTTAGAAATTCTGTAAGGATAGTTCTCGCGTTGAATTTCTTTAGTTTTGGAATGTCGATAGATTTGTTCGGTGCTTGATCACATTCTAATCTCTTTCTCGAAATATCGATTTATTTGTATGTGTGTTTTCTTTCCTGTAATGTAACTTCACGAAGTCTTTCTGAAACTTCTTCGGCTTCGATTGAATGTGTTCTACGCAATGGAGTTTCGATTTCATTTTGTTCTGAGCTTGAATTCTTCAGTTCTTGAATTTGATGTTAAGAAATTCTTTGAGGTCAGTCTCGCGTCGAATTTCTCTAGTTCTGGAATGCCGTGAGATTTCTTCGCCGCTTGATCACATTCTCCTCTTTCTCGAAATATAGATTTATTTTGATGTGTGTTTTGTTTCCTGTAATGTAACTTCACGAAGTCTTTCTGAAACTTCTTCGTTTCGATTGAATGTGTTCTATGCAATGGAGTTTTCGATTTCATTCTGTTTTGAGTTTGGATTCTTCAGTTCTTGAATTTGATGTTAAGAAATTCTACGAGGTCAGTCTCGCGTCGAATTTCTCTATGTTTTGGAATGTCGTGAGATTTCTTCGGTGCTTTGTCACATTTTCTTCTTTCGCTCAGAATGTCAATTTATTTTGTTCTGCATTCCTGATATGCAACTTATTCCGCTATCAGTCTTCTGGAGTCGAAGATCACGAAAATCTTACTGAAATTTCTTCGGTTTTGATTGAATGTGTTCCACTTCTTTTATGCAATGGAGTTTGGATTTCGTTCTGTTAAGAGCTTGAATTCTTCCGTTCTCAGATTTGATGTTTAAAAATTCTGTAAGGCACTTCTCCTGACGAGTTTCATTAATTTTAGAATGTTGAGAGATTTCTTCTGTGCTTGATGACATTTCCTTCTCTCGCTCGAAGTTTCGGTTATATTGATCTGCATTTCCTGCATGTTACTTATCCTGCTGAAATTTCTTCTGGTTTATCTTCGTGGAACTATAGTTCAACTCTTAAGTTCTATGCATTGCTTTACGACATTTTTTATCTTCTTCTTCTTCTTTCCTTGAGAATGCTTGAGAATGCAATACATTGTTCTGTGCATAAAGGTTGTTCGACATTTTTTATCTTCTTCTTCTTCTTCCCTTGAGATTGCTTGATAATGCAATACATTGTTCTGTGCATAAAGGTTGTTCGACATCTTATACTTGCAGGCCACGAGGTACACGTGGCCTCCTTCGCCCCTTAGTTTGTTTTTACTCCTGCAATGCAGTCGCCTGGGTTGTTCATTCGAAAGGTAAGTTTGATCGAGGCTCACGCCTGACTTCTAGTGATTACCGCTAAGTTAAGCTGTTCATCAGGCCTATTCGTTTCATTGCAAATTTTAGTTTCAATATCTTTCCAATAATTTATCAGTTAAGAGAATTTAATGGATTTTGCTAGTGGATATGATGCAGAAGTTCAATTTTGATTTGTCTTTAGATATTGTAACTCTTACTTTCTATGTGCGCTTCATGGTTCATATTAATATTATTGATTACTGTATTATGTTTTTATGCATCGAGCACCTCCTCTAATTAAGGCTCACATTAATAAAAATATTCATAACTTTGCTAATGTATTTTCTTATTCACTTTTTTATGAATAGTTTTTTAATCTTTATTTTCATGTTTTTGTTAATACATTTATTCTTCTTTTCTTCTTATATGTGTGTATGTATATATATATATTGTAAATGCTAAACGAACTTGGACAAACAAATGGTGAGTGTACTTGACCAATTTAGATATATAAACCAAAATTTTATAGTTTTATTTAATATAACTTGTTTTTCATGAACTCGTAGAATTTGACATTAAGTGCTTGATTTTTTAGTTTCTTTCCGCATTCCAAATGAGGCTTCAGTTGAACTCCAATCACATTCACGTGGAACATCGTGCAATAATTAGTTGCAAATAAACCTTCGTGTATCTGTTGGATTTATATATTCTTTAATCAATTATAGGAATTGTTGGACTGTGGGGCTGTCCAGACAGATGCAATAACAGTGGATCGCTTGGCATCCTTGGAGTAGGTGAGAAGTTTCTGGCATCCACGATAGTTTTTCCCAATACGAAATACAGAATTTACAAAGTATGACATGTTGTCATCGACCTTTACTAATAATCTACCAGCGTACTACAATTACTATGTTCTTTCCTTATCAGATCGCTTGGGATTTCATCTATGCAGAGTATGCCATGGATGCTGGTCATCACCACCGTTCGATAGTTTGGCAGGTGCTTTTTTTTTTTAAACAATATTTTAATCAGTATTTGAGTATCCTTAAATGGTTCACTCTTTCCTAGGACAGAAACTAAATTTGATGGCACCTAGAAATAACTGCATATAATCTCCTTCACCATAATGTTGGTTATTATTATCGTCACTATTAGACAATTTTGTATTGAAGAGACTTTTTGCACGTCTAAAACCAAAAAATTTAAATGTGAAAATTGACAGTCTCGTTGAAGTCCGTCCTTCATTTTATGTGTTAGTGTAATTGTATTCTATGATGCTATGAACTCTTAATTGTTCTTGGCATAGACATTGACCTGTTGTGCTGCTTTAAAAGCAGCATTGCAGAAGATTATTCACATTGCGAGTTCCAATCCGCCTCCCAGGATACTGCCCAATTATATTTTCTTGACAGTTATTTTTTACCTTTTTCTGCTACTGTCTTTTTTTGTTGCATTTTTTTTTTTTTTTTAACATTTGTTCTATATTCATTATTTTCTCTTGTTTTTGATAATTTGCCTGCATACGTCTTGCTTCTGCAGTGCCTACTTTCCATTTGTGATTTTCTTAACTTCTTATGCTAGGTGTGGAACAAACTGGGTATTGGAGATCATGTCAAGTTATCTCCAACACCGTTATGAAGTGGCCGAGCTTATCCAGATGGATATAAACACGTTCACAAATCTTCCATCTTTTTCAGGAAAAGTTGGTTACGGAACCGTTATGAAGCATTGGCATACAGAGTATCCTTTGTTTTTGTCCGAAAGAGATTATTTTAACGAAGAACCATATTTAAGGAATATGCTTGAGGTGCTATAATCTACTTTGTCTTCAATGATACACTCCTTAAAAGTTTTTTCTTTTTCTTTTTCTTTTTTTTTTCTTTTTCTCTTTCCCTACAAATTTAAGGTCCTGCATTCATCATCCCTTCTGCATCAGTAATTCGAAAAGTTAGCTTATAGGAATCGATTAAATAAGAAATTTGAATGTTGTTATGATGCAGTGCCATTACTGTTACAGTGCGTGTGGCGGAACAGTTTGTCCATGCGCCGGAGAAATCCAGGTGCTGGAGGGTAGCAGCCCGCTGAGCATTGAGGTTAGCCAAAATTTCTAATCCCCAAATGTTTGATGACATTTTATTTATTTGTTTATTTTTAATTATTTGTGTATATTCCTTTTAGAAAGAAAAAGAAAAAAACCCCAAGTATATTCCTTTTAGAAAAAGAAAACCAAAACACATTTGGAACTGTTCTTAAAAAAAAATATATTTAAAAAAAATAATTTTTACAAATACACTTTTAAAACTTTATATTTAGAGGAAAAAATTAATGTTTTGCAATCCAAATATATGAAGTGTTGCAATTTTAACAACCTTTAAAAAAATATTATAATTTTAATTGCCATTGTGTTTCTATTAGAACAGTAATACTCACGAATTAAAAAATATATGTATAATAGAAAATTGAATAAAACTTAATGAAAACAACATTAGAGCTAATTTTTTGGTTAAAGTTTTAGAATTTTAACAAGATTATTCAATAATTAACTTGTGCACTTACATATCCTAAGTGAGTTTACATAGAGTTTTATATTGTTTTTCTTGTTAAAATTTTGGAACTAAGTGAGTTTAGAGAAGTTTTATATGGGAGACTTGAATTAATTCCTATCATTTAAATGATATAATGTAATCTTTTAAACACATTTTAAATCTTCTGTAAATTTACCTTAACCATAACTAGCGGTTTAAGGTGATGACAAAAAAAAAACAACTGGTTGCATTATCAATTTATTTGGATTGAATTAGGTTCAAATAAATATTGAAATTCTCTTGTTTTGAAAGCAATACCAAGTGGGGTGCAGAGAGAGTAGACTTAAAAGTATTTTGAAAGCAATACCGAGTGGCCTAAAACTTGAGTTACTGTGGGTTCTGGTCGATCCCACCAGATTAAGCAGAGGTACGAAGCTGCAACAGGTTACTCGCCGTTTAGTTTCGAAGGTTCTTCTTCTTGTGCTGGAAAGTTTAGACATTTAAGAATAAGTTGACGGGTCTCTCCTATTTTAAATTAAGCCATATTTCAAGTAAGCTAAAAGATTTACGCATCCGCACTAACAAAGTTTTCTCATAAGAAAACTGGAGATTTTTGTTTGCAATGGGTACTTGAATTGAATAAGTTGAATCATAATTTTCAAACTATTTGTTTAATAAATTCATAACTTTTTTAAAAAATATATCAACTAAATCACTAATTTTTCGATTTTGAAAGTCTTTGGTGTCTAATAAATTTTTTATCCCCTAATTTCTATATAAAAAAAAAATCGCTAATATATCAAACACAAAATTAAAAATTTAAAGTCCTATTAAATAGATTTTTATTTCACATCAATATAGAAAAAATGTTGGACATGCTAGAGACTTATTGGACAAATTGAAAGTTCAGATATATTTATTTAACATTTTTACATAATATTAAATACTTTTTAAATTTTAAATATCTATTAAATACAAACATAAAAACAGGATAAACTAATAATTTAACCAAGAAAATAAATGTATTTAGACGGTTTGGAAACTAGTGTTTCTAAGTGAAATATTTTTCTATCAACAACTAAGCACGTATAGAAAAAAATAATAAAAAATAACCAAGTGTTTTATGTTTTGAAGTGTTATTGAAGTTAAGGCCAAAAATCATGTATCAGGATAATTTTTGAAAGTGCTTTCATGAACGAACTATTTTGAATGACGTGTTTAATTCATTACAAAATATTTAAAAATAAAAAAATGAAATATTTAAGATTTGATAGACATTTGATTTTTGTTTTCAATTTTTAATACCACTTTTACCTATAATTTTCTAAATGTTTTATAAAAAAAATTCAAGTTAAGTTTTTAAAAGTGCTTTTGAGGGTATACTAATAATTTCATCCAGATAAAGGTATTTTTTTGTTTGTTTTTAAAATTAAGGGTGAATACATCTAAAAGTTAGGAGATAGATATTTTATGACAATTTACAAAGTTATGCAGTATTTTTATTAATTTAGTCAAAATTTTAATCTTTTTTTTTTTTTTTTTTTGAAAAATAAGCAATAATTAATTCGCAAAAAATTGGCGTATGAATGACAAATAGAAGGATTATGTATTAGCATGAAAATACGTTTGGAAGTGGTATTACTGCTACCTGGAGAGTGGAGTGGTTTTTCGCATCGCTGTCCTGCTTCATCAACGGCCGCGCATGGTTCTTGTGGGGGCTGATGCTCAAATTCTTCTATAAACTCATTGACCATCTCCAGGTAAGCATCCAGATGAACTCGCTTCCACTCCTTAAGATTCGCAGTACATAAAATTGTTCAGATTTCAAAACGCATGGGAATATAAAGAATAACATTACACATCGCGCTTTTTAACTTCCCAAGTTCTGACCAAGACAAAAAAAAAATACAAAATCACCGCTGACAAGATTCTCACGTACAAGCAAATGCCAGACGAGGAAAAAGAAAATTACAAAATCACCGCAGACAAGATTCCCGTTATTTTAGCAGAGATACAAAATGTTCATTATTGAAACTATGGTTAGAGGACAGAACTAACCAAAACCTATCAAGGAAATTAAGATTAAATTTAAGAAATCTCGATCAATGCATTGTTGAGGATTGTTGGGAGTGAGTCCCATATTGGCTAATTTTGAAAATGATCATGACTTTCTAACTAAAAGAATATATTTGGAGCGAAGCCTTTTTCTAAGCCTTTTTCTAAAAGCCTAAAGCCATAGGAGCTTATGCTCAAAGTAGACAATATCATATATTGTGGAGATCCGTGATTCCTCTCATGCATCTGATTTACGATATAAAAACAAGGAAAGTAACTAAATGAAGAATCAATCATAATCTCATTTGTAGAATGGGGGGCGGGGAAATAAAAAATGTGGAAGAAAGAAAAAAAAAACCAATAAGACTTGATTCAATTTATTTCTTATATTTGTATACGATTAAATCATTGATGAACCCTATAAGAACACATGCCCTGGTTATATGAGTGGTCAAAAACAGAAAAGTTTCTTCTCCGTGGTATGATGTATAAATGTTATATTGTGTAGTGGAACAACAAAGGATTAAGTTTTTACCTCAAAATCCCAATCTCCATACAGGTCTGGATCCCTTTCGTTGTTCCAAATATAGACATAAACTAATAACTTCTCAAGACTGTCCAGCAAAAGGTCATCTATAGCCTAAAAAAAGATCAGAAAGCACAATCGTGGAGAGGATTAAATATACATATGTTTCAACTATCTTCATTAGCATAAATAATTAAGTGGTACGAACCCCATAAGAAAAATTGCCAGCGCACTAGAACGGAAAGTGATCTCAATGTTCATTAAGCTTTTCATTAGCTTCCGAGCAATTTACTGAAGGGTAGTAATAATGAAGAACTACTGATATGTTTGTATAGCAAGTTATAAAAACGAATTCCAAAAGGGTAGTATTTTATAGTAGGGAGTACTTGATCGGAATGGATCTATGTTTTCCAATTCAATGACCAAATCTAGTAAAAAGTAGTTGATAATAAAGCACATTTAGTTTACCGTTAAAGTGACCTCAACTGTGCTCCTTTTGTATTCAACATCCTCAAATGCGTCTAAAATATCCAATTCGGTGGCTGTGATGCCTGAAAGAACCTGCAGTGTAAGGGATAGTTGGTAAGAGTACAGGATAGTTCAATATGAAAACGATAAAACGACATGTAAAAGAAATTCAGATTCATTAATAATCATTCAACACACGATGGTATACAAACCTTGCCAGATACTTTCTTGCCATCAACAGGTATGATCGCTGGATAAACTCGTCCTTTAATGCTTAATCTTTGACTGCAAATTCTCGAGCAAATTTACAGAGTTCAATCATGAATTCGGGAATACAAGCGAGCAATAAAAGAATGTTTCAACACAATCCTTCTTTATCGTATAAGCTAAGAATCAAAACCTTGAAAATTAGAGCAATCACATAGAGCAATGCAATAACAGTTTGTACTAATTATTTGGAGATCGTCATCTGTAAACTTCTAAAAAGAAGAATTAAACAAATGAACAACATAAATTCAAGCGAATCATCAATGCAGTGAATCGAACTCTCGTTAAGGAAACTGACCAAATTTGGCCTATCATCGATGCAAAAATTTTGCTCGAATTTATCAAAAGAGAAGAAAGTAACAGTGACGAAGAATAAATTGAAGAGAATCATTTGATTTGCAAATCAAAAAGCTTAAACGTAGAAGAATATTTCTAAAGTAATCCTTTCTTATCATATGCGTTAACATTAACTAAGAAATATAACCTAGAAAATCACAAGAAGCATAACAGCTCCCTAACAATAAGTAATAGATGATCAATATCCACAAACTTCTATAAAGACGAATTAAACAAAGAAACAGCATCAATCGAGTAAACCATAAGATTGATAGAGCGAATCGTACTCTCCTATGCGAAACCAGCACGAATTAGCCTATCATCGATGCGAGTTTTGCTCCAAAATTACCAAAATGAGAGGAAATAACAGCGACGTTTAGCAAATCAAAACGCTAAGAGTAGACGAATATTTCTAATGCAATTCTTTCTCATCAAAACGCTAAGAGTAGCAAATCAAACTCTCCTATGCGAAACCAGCACGAATTAGCCTATCATCGATGCGAGTTTTACTCCAAAATTACCAAAAAGAGAGGAAATAACAGCAACGTTTAGCAAATCAAAACGCTAAGAGTAGACGAATATTTCTAATGCAATTCTTTCTCATCATAACGCTAATGTCAACTAAGCAACAAAACCTAGAAAAATCGAGAGAAGCATAACAGTTCTCTAACAATATTTAACAGAAGATGAACATGCATGTACTTCAGTAACTACGAATTAAACAGAGAAACAGCATAAATCCGAGTAAATCACAAGATTGAAATGGAGAATCGAAATCTCGTTTCGAAAACCAGAACGATTTTACTTCGAATACATCAAAAGAGAAGAAACTAACAGCGATGATTTGAAAATCAAAGATTAAGAATAGAAGATGAAAGAACGAACAAGTCATTGAGGACGGCAGCAGAGGACTGAGGAGTGCGCTTCAAGAGGATATGAACGACTTCATCAGACAAGAGACTACCGTAGACGAAGACTCTGTGAAGATTCTGCTGCGTATGAGAAGGCGCGAGAGAAGCCAGAGATGCCGAATCCATTTTCCGCTGAAATGTTCTCTGGGATTTGTCTCCAACCCGAACACAAATGAACTTGTTTGCTATAAATAACGTATCAAACCCGATTATTTCACCCACCTGGGGCTGTTAATAATATTAATTTGTTTTTATTTATATTTTTAATTTATTAATTTATATTTATTTTTAATTTATTTATATTTGTTTATATTTTCGATAAATAAATAAATTTATTAATTTATTTTTATTTATATTTTTAATTCAAGAAATAGTTAAAAACAATCCTCCATTAACAAAATAAGTTAAATTATAAATTTAATTTATTTAGATTTCTTTGGTGAATTCTACCTTTTCAAATTATAGGATTTGGAGTAAATTTTAATTTTCAGTTCAAAATTTTAAATTAAAAAAAAAAAAAAAATCCTTTAGTTTGTTAAAAGGTAATTCTCAATTTATCATGAATTTTCTAAAAAATCTCAATTTTGACGTATGATAAAAATTATTAATAAAATATTTCTCTTTTAATCTATTAATATAACGACGATCTGTCATTATTATTTTATTAATAAATTAGATTATAAATCTATGTCTTTAAACTTTAAGATATATGTCTATTTCATCTATAACTTTCGGAGTGTCTAATAAATTTCTAAACTTTCAATTTTATGTATAATATGTTCGTAAAATTTCAATCTTGTGCTATATACGTATCTAACAAATTCATTTTTTTAAAATTAACTTACCTATGTGAGATGATTTTGAATGGTATATTTAATAATTGATTCTAAAATTTCAAATTTGTGTCGAATAAGGCCATGATAAATTTAAAGATGGAGAGATTAAATTTTCAACATAATTTAGCAATACACCTTTTTGTTAGTTTCAACCATCTTTATTGAAGAACTTAATTGAGAATTCATAAATGGATGATATAAAAAAAAATTGAAAATTGTAAAAAGTTAAAAGTTAAATTGAAAATGATCTAAAAGATTAGATACTAATTGCTAATTATAAATTTTCAATCCTATAATTATAAAGGTTAAAATTATTAAAGACTATTTATGAGAATTTTATAATTCAGTTCTATAATTATAAAGGTTAAAATTATTAAAATTATTAAAGACTTATTTATGAGAGTTTTATTAAACTATAACGATTAATTATGAGATTTTATCAAATCCTCCAACAAATTAAAAAAAAAAAAAAAAAAACTCTAAAAATAAGAAATGCTAACACTTATAATAATTATTTCATTTTTTCGTTTTAAAATTATATTTGTTTTAATTTTCTCAAAAAAAAAATCTAATTTCTAAAAATTATTTTTTTTAGTTTTTAAAATTTGGTTTGCTTTTGAAAACCTCTTTATAAGAGTAAAAGGAAAAATATTTGAAGTGAAGTAATTTTTAAAACCAAAAACAAAAATAAAATCAGTTTAAAATCTTAGTTTTGAGAAATGTTTTCGACGATTAATTGGGTTAGATTCCACATCGAAGATGAGAAGTATAAAGGGTGTAGAATTTTCTCTCTGATAGCTAACCGGTCACAGACAATATGTGTTTGCGGTGGGATTGAGATGTTACAAATGATATCGAGCCAGACATTAGATGATGTCCAGGAATGAGCCAGACACCAAAGAGATAGATTGCTAGATCCCATATCGATTGGAAAACTCTCCCTAGTAGACATGTTTTAAAACCGTGAGGTTAACGGCAATACATAACGGACCAAAATGGACAATATTTACTAGCGATGGGCTTGAACTGTTACAAATTGTTAGGTTGGTAACCGAATTGGAAATCCGAACCACATGTTTGCAGCAGTTATGGTTCATTCAAATAAACTTAGAACTTGATTATAATGTCCAAAGTTCAAGGCCGTGAAACATACAGAACTAACCCAAAACGGTAACAAATTGCAAAGTTTATTCCTAGAAGTACAAGTACAGGTCAAATGGTAGTAACTGAACTGTTGTTAACCATCACACTACAAAGTCTCTGGTTTGCCTGGTTTGTGAGATTTAGGAATCACGAATCTGTGGCTATGGCTTCTGGAAGTGGTTGCAGTTCTAAGGACGGTAAGTGCGGGTTGAGTACTACTACGTGGGGCGCTGCTCCGAGCAGCTTGTTGTCCATCGAGATTCCATTCTTGAGGAGATCGACGACCTTTCTCACCTCGTTCGCGAGCTCGATCACCATTTCCTCCTCGTGACCTATGGTGCAAGATAAGAAATTTTTATATACATACACAAATGGTGATGAACAAACCAAAAGAAGCCAGCCATTACTATCCAAAAGCTCACCTATGTCAAACAATGCCTTCTCTAACATGAAAATATAATCTCTATTGTTTCCACAAGGCCCAGAAGCAGTTGCAATTTGTCTGTTAAAAGTGAACCAAGGATAATGAGGAACTAAGACTAGCACAATGAAATGAAGTTAAAATGTTACCATTTTACCTAGCCATGTCCTCTAATGGAGCTGGACCGAGGTAGTATTTGTTCACTTCTTTGTCGGGAGTCGACGTGAAACTGCGTATGTACGAACGATACAAATTGGTCGAAAAGTTAGAACAAAGTGCAGATATAAGTTTAAACTTCGTTTTTCTTGCTACCCTTTTGCTCATATTACATTCAGATAAGAGGAAGATCATAAAGAGCAAAGGCTGGCACTTACACAATTACTCCTGTAAGCGCTGGCTCAAGAGAGTCCACTTCCTGAATGTAGAACCTCAAAAGATCAGTTAAAATCAATGATGGAGGATGCTATGCATAGAATCAACTTCAATTTAACAGTATCATTAATATGAACCGTTCGTAAAATTGGCTTCTTAAAAACGTAGAACTTCAATTTAACGATATCAATAATGTGAACCGTTCATAAGATCGGCTTCTTAAAAATGTAGAACTTCAATTTAACAATATCAATATTATGAACCATTCATAGAATCGATTTCTTAAAAATCTAGTACTTAAATTTAACGATATCAATAATATGAACCGTTCATAGAATGGGCTTCTTAAAAATGTAGAACTTCAAGCTAACAATATCAATAATATGAACCATTCATAGAATCGGCTTCTTAAAAATGTATGAACTTCAAGTTAATAATATCAATAATATGAACCGTTTATAGAATCGGCTTCTTAAGAATGTAGAACTTCAATTTAACAATATCAATAATATGAACGGTTCATAGAATCGGCTTCTTAAAAATGTAGAACTTCAATTTAACGATATCAATAATATGAACCGTTCATAGAATCGACTTCTTAAAAATGTAGAACTTCAATTTAACGATATCAATAATATGAACCGGCTTCTTAAAAACATAGAACTTCAATTTGACAATACCGTAAATATGAACTGAGAAGAACATGAACCAATTGATAATCTCACCTTGTAGAAGTTAACCAATGTCTTTTGATCATATTCACACTCTCTCTGCTCCAAATACTGCAATTCACAAAAAGGAAAAGGACAAATTTTCATAACTTCCAAATGATTTGGGAATGAAGTTCCAAAAGGAAAAGTTAAGTCACAAAATTCCAAATGAAGAAAGGGATATGAAGCAGCTAGGGTTATTATATTGATTCAACCACAAACCATGAAGATGATAGATAAGAAGACTCTTGCGCCACCCAAATAACTCCACCATTTATATTTTTCATAAAATAAATTTGAAAAGATATTAAATTACCTCCATTGCTGCTCGTTCCCTTTCAGGACTCCCCCGCACACAGAAAGCTGCTCCCCACTGCCAAAAAAGTTGTAATTTCTTTAATTTGAAAAAACTAATTTCAGTTAATCTTATTTAGATCAGTTAATCTTACACAAATAGCTCCTTCTTCCTGTTCCAACGTGAGAGTTCTAGCAGGATTTTCTGGCGTGCCTCTGTGATCAATGCATGCTGGTCCAAATATGAGACAGATTTTTATGAACAAGAAAATTAACATATCCAGTACATAATCAAAACTGAATGGATGATTTGAAGTATTGAAAAGAACATGTGCAACAGTTTCTAGCTGGAAATAGTAAATTTACCGAGGTCGAATACGCGCTTATAATCCTTGATGTAACCTACAATTTTCTCATCAAATTCAAATCCTGGGTTCCACACCAGTGAGCCATATCCAAATACCCAAAACACCATGATTATAAAGCTCCTGAAAAAAGAGGAAAACAATAATCAAGATTAATCGAACAAGTCCTAAGCATTCAAAGGTTAAACTACAAATTTGACTAGAATTTAGTTCTATGATTCAAAAGTTAGCCTAAAATCTACTCATCAGAAATCAAAATGCAGATTTAAAGAGGTAGAAGAAAGGGAATATTACTAATAAAGAAAAAATCAGAGGATAATGTTTCTGAAATCGCCATCAATGGTCTATAATTAGACCAATAACGCACTCGTCTTAGTTCCAAAACTCAAATTAGAAAATTAAAACCACGAACGGAGAATTCAAGCGGATAATACAAAAAAACGTAGAGTGCGACAAATAACAGCCCGCATTGCATCACAAATTAGTCAAGAAACAATCGGAAGAAAAAAAAAACGCCAAAAATCTCGATCAATCAACGGAGCACATGGAGAACATCACGGTATATATAGACACAAAGAACTTAATTCTTACGCGAAGATCCGAAAACTTTTCCCGGAAAATGAGAGAGAAAGACGAGGACGAGCGAGATTTTTTTTTTCTCTTCTCTTTTCCTCTGATCTAATGAACAATGCGAAGAACAGCGAGCGAGAGAGAAAAAAATGCAAAAAAAAATCAACGACGGAGAGAAATAGGGAGGAATTCAAGCCAAAAGACGTTAGGGTTTTAGCTTCGAAATTGAGATTTGAGAGTGGTTGAGCTCTGTTCTTCCTCTCTCTCTCTCTCTCTCTCTCTCTCTCTCTCTCTCTCTCTCTCT